GAGTGAGAAGCTTCCCATCCTGTTTTTCTTCTTAAGCAGTGCTTTGCTTATCCTGGGTCTCTTTCCTTTCCATATAAAGTTTGTAATTATTTTTTCCATCTCTTTGAAGAATATCATTGGAATCTGGATTGGGATTGCATTATATATGTAAATTGCTTTGGGCAGTATTGTCATTTTCACAATGTTAAGTCTTCCTAGGAGCATGGTAATTTTTTTCAGTTTTGTAGGTCTCTTTTGGTTTCATGTAGTAGTGTTCTGTAGTTTTCTTTGTATAGGCCCTTTGCTTCGCTTGTTACATTTAGTCCTTGATATCATCCTTTGGGTGGCTATTGTAAATGGTATTGCTTTCCTTATGTCCTTTTCAGCACTGTCATTATTGCTACAGAGGAATCCAACTGATTTTTTTATGTTGTTCTTATATCCTTCCTGCCACTTTGCTGAATCCTCCAGTGAGGTCTAGTAGCTTTTTAACTAAGTCTTGGGGATTTTCTATGTATAGGATCATAACGTCTGCAAATAGTTTTACTTCCTCTTTGCCAATTGGGATGCCTTGATTTCCCTATCTTGCCGTATAGCTCTGGCTAAGACTTCGAGCACAGTATTGAATAGGAGTGTTGACAAAGGGCATCCTTGTCTGGTTCCTGTTCACAGAGAGAAGGCTTTAAGTTTCTCTCCATTTAGAGTAATGTAGGCTGTTAGTTTTGTATATATGCTCTTAAGTATGTTAAGGAATTTCCCTTCAATTCCTACTTTGTTGAGTGTTTTTATCAGGAACAAAGCCCATAGAATTGATGCCTTTGAGTTATGGTGTTGGAGGAGAATATTGAAAGTGCCATGGGCTGCCAAAAGAACCAATAGATCTGTTTTGGAAGAAGTGCAGCCAGAGTGCTCCTTAGAGGTCAAGACGGCCAAACTTTGTCTCTTATACTTTGGACATATTGTCAGGAAGGAGCAGTTGCTGGAGAGGGATATAATGTTTGGTACAGTAGAGGGTCAGAGAAAAAGAGGAAGACCCCCAACAAAATGGATTGGCCAAGTGGCAGCATCGATGGACTCAAGCGTGGCAACAGTAGTGAGGTTGGCCCAGATCCGGCAGTGTTTTGTTCTGCTGTGCATAAGGTCGCTCTGAGTCGGTACCGACTCGATGGCACATAACAAAAACAATGTACTTCCAGAGGAACAACAAATCAGTTTTGTTAAAAATGCAGTCAGAATATACTTTGGCTATGCAAGGTGCTCTAGTAGCATAGTGGTTACGAATCGGGCTGCTAACCTCACAGTCAGCAGTTAGAAACTACCAGCTGTTCCGTGGGAGAAAGATGAGGTTTTCTGCTTCTGTAAAGATTTACAGCCTTGGAAACCCTGCACAAGGTTGCTGTGAGTTGGAAGCAACTCCACGGCACATAACAACATCAGGAGGGAACAGTCCCTGAAGAGGGCATTATGCTTGGTAGCAGGGCAGTGAGAAAGAGGAAGAGCTTCAATGAGGGTCTTCCTCTTTCTGACACAGTGGTTGCAACATTACACTCAAACATATCTACTATTGTGAGGATGGCCCCTGACTGGACGTTTTATTCTGTTATATACAGGGTCACTATGATTTGGAGATGTCTCAATGGCATCTAACAACTCCTTTTAAAGCCACTAGGCATCATGATTTCCAAGAAACACATTAATTTATGAGTAACCCTTTTTCAATATTTACCAGGGCTAACACATATGAAACACTAAGTCATGTGCTGACAAGTTTTACTGCAATAGCCTAGAAAAGCCTAAGGGGCAGTTCTACTCTGTCCTATAGGGTTGCTGAGTTGGAATTCACTCAACGGCACACAACTCAACTCAGTGGCTCTGAGGAAAAGGCCAGCTCTGAGTTGAGGTGGGAAAGACATGAGTTTTGTAAAAAATTTGAAAATTTCTATCCAGTGCTAGTATAGAGCTTGTCAGTGACTAAATATATTAATAAGAATGGGTAGAATTGCAGAGAGCTTCAAATCTAATGGACCATCTCCATATAGACTGTAAGGTTACAATCTGTATTTCTGGAAGGCCTTTTCAGATACCAGTATTTTAAAAAAATATGCTCAAGTAAAGTCAGTTTGAACCACAAGGTTGATGGTTCAAGCTCACCAACTGCTCCTCAGAAACCCTATACAGGGTCGCTTTGGGTCGGAACCAACTTTAACAACAAAAAACTCTCTTATTGCAAATCCTTCATTACACGGGATTTTAATATGTCTTATCTCACTTTAGGGGAAAAGATGGTACCCAAATATTAGTAACATACAGATTTGTTGTTAATTGTTGATAAGTACTGTGGAATCGGTTCCAACTCAGTGATCTTGTATAGGGTTTCCAAGGAGTGGCTGGTGTGCTTAAACCGCTGACCTTGTGGTTCAAACTGACTTTGAGGTCAAATGCTTACCCTAAGTTTTGAAACACTGACTCATTTTGAATCTCAAATCTGGCTTTTTTCTGTATGACTTAGCAGCAATGACAACTTTTCTCCTTGATATTTCCCTTAGGAAATTACAGCTTCTTTAACTGGTGAGATCTGAGGAGCCTCAGAATAACAGTGAAAAGTCGGGGTACTACTACTGGAAATGTTGCTCACCCAGGGATCTTATCTGGTTATTCTCATACCATCCATACACTTCCTGGTCGGACTCTGAGGTTCTTTCCCTTGTGCAATTCCTTGTGCCACCGTAACTGGGAAGACTCCTGTTATAGGAGGAAGATAGGTCCAAGGTGAATTTTAATACAGAATGAAGGAGCACTGATGGTGCTGTAGGATAAGCAGTGGCTTGCTAATTACAAGGTCAGCAGTTCAAACCCACCAGCTGATCCCAATGGCAGTGAAGTGGGTAATAAAGTGAAGTTCAGGGAGTTCCTGAATGGCACTACAGACCCAACTACTAACTAAAAGGTTGATGGTTCAAGTCCATCTACAGGCACCTTGGAAGAAAGGTCTGGCAATCTCTTTCCAAAAGATCACAGCCTTAAAAACCTATGGAACAGTTCTACTCTGCTTTCATGGAATCACCATGAGTCAGAATGAACTTGACAGCAACAGACTAAGTCTTACAAAGGAAGGCAACGGTGGTTCACTGGCAGAATTCTCACTTTCTGCATGGGACACCTGGGCTTGAGTTCCAATCAATACAACATCATCCATCAGTGGAGGCTTACGTTGCTATGATGCTGAACAGGTTTCAGTGGATTTTTCAAATGAAGACAGATTAGGAAGAAAATCAGCAAATGAAAAGCCATCACAACCGTCTCACTCCATTGTGTGTGGGATCATCATGAGTCACGACCTGATTCAATGGCAGCTAACAACTGCCTCCCAAGTCCTAGGAAAAAGTCTATTACAGTACTGTGGTAAAATCATCTCACTTGGTTTTGGATTTTAGAAATTATATAGGAATATATACTGCTTGAAAAAAACATTAATACAGAAGCATATAAATACAAAGCTCTCCCTCAATCCTCCTCTCCTACTTAAACCTTACTTTCCTAGACAGGTAACCAGGCTTAAGAGCCTCTTTCTTTCATGAATTCACAAACAATACAGACCAAGGCTACTGCCCCAGTGCTAAAAATTTAAATGTAAAAACAAACTTCTAACTTTATAAGCCTCATCACTTTATTCATACATTTTATTTCTTATAAGTAACAGTTAATAAAAGAAAAAAAATGATTTAGCAGTCTACTATTTTGACAGCAACTGTAATTTAAATGCTAACAGACCCACTCTGTACAACAGAGAACCCTCCCCCAGAGCTACAGTAGGCATTTAAGTTTCCCAAACCCAACAGCGATAAATACTTTTTTATGACCTATCAACACACACACATGGAGCTCTGGTAGCATACTGCGTTATGAGCTGGGCTGCTAACTGTAAGGTCTGTAGTTAGAATCTACCAGCCCTTCTGCAAGAGAAAGATGAGGCTTTCTGCGCCTGTAAAGACTTAGTCTCAGAAACCCTATGCAGGGTTCTTATGAGTCAGAACTAACTCTGTAGCACATAACTACCACCATAGCACCATCAACACACACACACAAATTGTTGTTCCCCCCACAGTTGAAAAATTCCATGAACAATACAGTTTCTCTATGTGTGCGACTCATTGAATCAAATCAGTTATTAAAATACCTACAGTAACAATTCTCAGCACCGGGTTTGGCTACTTCTGAGGGTTATTAGGTAGTGGTGGTGGTGTGCTGTGGTGACCCTGTAGAGGGTTTCTGAGACTGTAAATCTTTTTTTTACAGGAACAGAAAACTCATCTTTCTCCCATGGAGCACCTGGTGGACTTGAATTGCTGACCTTGTGGTTAGCAGCCCATATGTGACCCACTAAGCTATCAGGGCTGTTATCTGGCATTATTTAGCGATAGTGCCAGCATGGTAAATAAGCTCCATCTTCCCAAACAATGTGTACTTGATGTTAAACAATCACACAGCTTTCAAGAATTTTTAATGGAAGACTTTCTCCCCAAATGACACAGACATAACCCCAATATATAAAACAAATTTCAAGGAAACTGTGTTGGCCAATCAGTTGGTTGATGGGAATTCTCCACATACATCCTGGAGTACCTGTTCTCTCTCCTCTGCCACAGTGTACCCCTAGGGAAAATGGAGAATGATTTCTTGTGTACTTGGCATACCAAGTCTCATTGCCTTTCAATCTCTAATTTCATCTGGGACACAACCATTCTCCAGAGGAGCCAAAGAGTTAACAAGGCTATGCCAACACCACTCACTCTCTTTCAGGTAAATAGAATTGGCTTTTGATGTGCTGGAGTCCAGATCTTTAAATCAAAACTTCTCTGGTTTTTCAGTCATTTTGGTTTTAAGACATTTCAATGAGTGAACGCTTCAGCTTGGGTTAACATAGCTCTTCTGAGCAGTTCCATTTTTAAACAACAATAAACAGCAATATATCTTCCCAAGTTTGAGAAAGACCTGAATGTTCCCAAGTAGCAAACTGTTTTCTAATGTGGTTTCTGAATATTTGGGTTCTTTTCCTTCTCGGTGTATTCTTTCAGTCGAAGAAGCCACTTGGACCAGTACTGGGAACAGAGTTCTGTGTCCATGAAGTGTGGATGGGCAGGAGACCCATCTTTGTAGGCAACCACAATTAAGCCACAATGAACCTAAGACAAAACAGAAACACTCTTAACATTTCTACGTTAGACTCATAGTTTTATACTCATTTCCTTCTTATTCCAGGGCAAACCAAGTCAGTACAAAGCAATCTACAGTATCAGTATCTACTAATTCAATTTCTAAGATGGCTGGTGCAAGATTGCACCAGGATACATAAAACACAAAGTTTACAGATAAGACACTGATGAACGGAGTATGATCATTACAGATTAAAAAAATTAAAGGAGCCACAGAGTGGGCACAGGTACTTTTTAAAGTAGTAGAAAGTTAAGGAGCAGAGTAGGCAGTGGGATGTAAGTAAAGAAAAAAGTCTTAGGAGTTCAGCAGCATTAAAAACACATTGAACACAACTTTTAAGTAGGTGGAGACTCTGTATCCTGACCTGAAAGCTATAGTTGGCATCATGATTTATGGCACCAATGTATGCCACAACTTGTAATGGGTTGTCAAAAGTATTTCGGATAAAAGGTTTTGGTTTCTCTGATGTCTTCCAATCAATCACACACAGTTTGCCCCTAAAGAGAAACCAAAGGAAGTAGATAACAGTTTAAACTATTAAAGAAAAACTCTACTTATGTTAACTCTCTACTAACCCCATTTGAACTGCAAGGTCGATGGTTCAAGCTCACCAGCTGCTCCTCGAAAACCCTATACAAGGTTGCTATGGGTTGGAACTGACTTGATGGCACTTAACAACATCTACCAATATATCTCTTGTAGACAACATATCTAAGAACCCTGTTTTCTTATCCATTCTGTTCTTTTTTTTACATTTTTTAGTTTTTATTGTGAATTGATTGAAAGTTTACAGGGCAGATCATCAGTTTTACATTCAACAAATCATACTTTGTTTCATTACAATG